TGTGTGTGTCTGTGTGTGTCTGTTTGTGTCTGTTTGTGTCTGTTTGTGTTTGTTTGTGTCTGTGTGTGTGTGTTTGTGTCTGTGTGTGTCTGTGTGTGTCTGTGTGTCTGTTTGTGTCTGTGTGTGTCTGTGTGTGTCTGTTTGTGTCTGTTTGTGTCTGTGTGTGTCTGTGTGTGTCTGTTTGGGTCTGTTTGTGTCCGATGTGCCACTGAAGAAGAAAATAAAATCACATTGTAGGAGCCTAAATGCAGTTTATTTTAGTTAGAATATTTTTTATTTAAAAATATGCAAATTCTTAAGTAACATAGATATTGTTTGTGATTTCATGATTCAAAGGGATTAAAAAAAAATTGAAAAAAGCTATTTACATACAGTATGGACAGTTCATTGATATTGTGTAAGATAATACTTTAATTGTGACATTTAAAAAACCCCACGATTGGGGGGATTTATCTTCACAACAGTGGGAGTCAGAAGGAGATTGGAGTGCAATAGTTTTAAAAGACTTTAAAAGACTTAATTTAGTGGATACATTTGATGTTTTTTGTAATGTTGCGTTTAGTTTCCAAGTGAACCGTTAGAAATCAAGAAGTGGACTCTAATTTTTTTAGTGTTTTTGATACAAGGGAGTCTGACAAGGGCCAAGCTAAAGCTTCAATAAGGACAGTAAGAACATAAATTTTCACACATTATCAAAACAATCGTCTCTGTATGTTTTAACCTGCAGGTGTGATGCCAAAGCACGGTCTGGATGTGGCCGCCTGCGAGGTGTTCCGCTTCTACAAACTAGTCACCCTGAAGGGTTTGATTGAACCCATCTCCATGATTGTGCCGAGAAGAGTGAGTGGAGTTGGCTCTGGCCTCATTATCAATCACATCCGCATTTATCCGACTCTAATAAGCCAAAAAAGCCGTTTAAAAAGGTTGGACTCTGATTAACATCCCATGGCAACAGTTGGACATTAAATATTCATGTAATGAACTAAAGTAAAGGACTCGGTCTTTAGAGATTAGTGCAATCAAGATGGTGGTGATTTACCTGAATTTTCAGTCTAATGCTTCTGCATTGGTGCAAGTGGTAGAGTAAAAATAGACCTCTAAATGAGTTCATCAGAGCTAAAACGAAATGATAAAACCAGCAAATGATGAAGTGATATTCCTTTGAGATGTGCAGACAAATTGCAATTTTGGGATTGTGTTATGTGGAACACCTTATGTGCCCTCTTCTTCACACTTATCAGAATCAGAATCAGAAATACTTTAATAATCCCAGAGGGAAATTATTTT